TCCCCCGTCCCCGAAGGCAGGAGCGGGGTCCCTGACACCCGCCGGAGTTACAAAACAGGGCAACGTGCCAAGCCGGGCCCCACCGGGGAGGGAGCGGGGCCGCTGGTTGAGCATTAACCTGGCACTGCTGGACTCGGACCACGGAGAAACCGGTCGTGCCGGAGCCAGTTTCACTGGAAGTCCCCAAGGGCTAAATATATCAATTTTTGTTTGCTTTTCCTTCCCCAAAAGAAAACTCCGGGTGTAGTCACATGCCTTAACACGCAGATCATAGGATCATCGAATGGTTTGGGTTGGAAGGGACCTTTGAAGATCGTCCAGTCCAACCCCCCTGCCGTGGGCAGGGACACCTTCCGCTAGACCAGGTTGCGCAAAGCCCCGTCCAACCTGGCCTTGAACACTTCCAGGGAGGGGGCATCCACAACTCCTCTGGGCAACCTGCTCCAGTGCCTCACCACCCTCACAGTGAAGAATCCCCAATCCCAGAAACTAACTGGCAACAGACCCAACAGAATTTTGTTACGGATTTTGAGAACCAGCTATCGCAGGGGTGTTGGCAGACATCACGACCCGTGCCGGGATGCTCCCACGGCCGCGAAGCCCCCAGGCTCTCCCGCGTGCGAGGACGGGCAGCGCAGCACTGAGCTCACAGAAGCGCTTGCAGGTATTGCCTCATTTGAAGTCTGTGGGAGCTGGGCACGTCTGAAAGGGAACGGCTGAAATATACCACGGAAACAATTTTATGACATGAGGAGACAGATTTTTACTGCTCAGAAGTCCCAGAGTCTTTCATCAGACAGACGTGGAATGAAAGATTCAGGGCAGCACGTTGTCATCCTGCTCCGAATACCTGAGAGGCTGCAGCCGACCTCCCCGCAGGAACAAAAAGATTAAAAAAGAGCTTCTCCCAAGGGACAAAGTCCAGCCCCGCTGTCCCCAGGGTCATCACGGCACCGGGGGTGCTGTTCCCACGGGGCAAAAGCGTGGAGCCTGGGCAGGAGCTGCCACCCCTTGACTCACCCGTGGGCACTGCCCTTCCAGCTCAGGCAAAAGCTGACACTGCCCTCTCTTGGGCTGCCCACACACAGCAGCAAGCTTCTCAGGAGACACAGCCCACCAAAAAAGTCCTGGGCTTACGGCACGCACAATCTTAAACCAAAGCTCTTCTTTTAGACCCAGCCTGGAGCACTGAAACACAAGGGGTTTCCAACCTCTCCCCTCCAGATTTCATCTTCTGCTGTTTGGCAAAAGGATCAGATACTGAAATTTCTCTATAGAGGCAGCAGCAGTGTGAGAGGGACACATGACCCAGGAACTTGTCTGAGCTGGCTTACAGGAGGGAGATGCTCTGGCGAGAGAGTCCAGCTCCATGTCCTCACCTCTTCCTACTCAAAGCATGCTCAGAGCCTCCTGACAATCAGGCAGTGCTATTTCCAGCCGTGCGAGACACTCTCCCTTTAGCAACAGCTTCCCACGCTACCTTCTTCCTCCTTCCCATAAGGCATCTATGGCTTTTACAGAGACTTTTTTTTTCTTTTTTTAAAAAAATCAGCAAAATCAGTGACCGTGGGATGGCTGGAACCACTGGTGCTGACTGCAGCACATACAGCAGCGAGGATGAAATCTGCTACAAACACACATTTCTTCAGCCAGCAACTCAAACTTGGAAGTAGCCCGACTTGAGGCCACAAACACCCCAGAGATGCTGAGCAGGCAAGAAGAGCGTGGGAGGTGCGTGACAGCCCGCACCACTCAGAGCTGCGCTGCAGAACGGTCCTTGGTTGAACATCAGGGTCTTTGAGGCTCTGAAACGCACAGCCCCACCGGCCCCTACCTCAAGGGGAAGGAGAAGTACTTGTTCCCCGACTTGCAGCGGATTTGCTCCCATTGGACACGCAGCAGGAGCGCCGAGTCCTCAAACCCGTCCACGATGTCCTGGAAAACAGAGGCAGGAGTCAGCACCAGGAGGGTGGATCTCCCAGAGGAAGGAGTCGGGCAGCTCCCTCTCTGAACCAAGTCAGAGACGAGGCCGTTTGTGGCTGGAAGCCTCTGACTTCCCTTCTGGAGGGCGATTAACTCACGCTCCCCCCAAAAGCTTCCCTTCTTTCAACCCAGTGAAGTTTGTCTTGCTCAGCGAAGAGAATCTCTCACTCTCCGCCCGTGGCAGGGAGACGTGGCTGGACACCAGCTCTGCTCTTCCCCTGCTCTCCACACTGCGTGGGGACGCACCTGGAGCTCCCGCAGACACTGCCCTTCCAGCCTGCCGGA